TCTTACCAGTTAAAACATTAAGTACATTACAGAGATCATTGAAGAGATCTGTCAACCTTTCCTAGGGTCAACAACCTGCGGCAGACCTTTGTAAAGACTGACAGGAAGTAGGATAATGAATAACTTCCTTCTACGACCCACATTTCCTTCTCCTGAAAATGATTCACCTCTGCACTGACCAGCAAAGTTGGTAAATGCAAAATACACGGAGGCTCGCAGCTTTGGAAACCCCCCCAAAAAGGATATAATATAACCTAACCTGAATCAATCTCAGATTCAATCCTTTCCCTCCAGAAACTTGTCACTCACTTGAGATAAAGCAATTACTATACCAAAGACAATGATCCAATCAATTCCCGATGGACAAAATCAAGTCCTACATTTTCTTCTAGTTCGATAACACTATGATACATGGTACAATAGGGAAGAAAAGACCACACACAATTTCATGCCAAATTTAAAGGGCATTCACACTGACATTAATTTGCATCTACAAAGTGTCTTAAGTCATTTTTTTTTCAATGACAGTTGACGTGTTCAACGTATGAAATCATAGATTTTTTTTTCCAATTTATAAGTTGATATTGAATATTTATTAGCCAATAATATTATTTTGGCACATTTTAAGATTTAGATCATCATCTAGCAGTAACTAAAAGGGATAGTGATAAATTATGGCACAGATTTAAGAGCTATTGAAATACACTTTCTCTATAAGAGTGCATGTTAAAGTGCTAATAGCTAAAACTTGCCACACATAATCAGGCACAACATCAAAACAATTAATGGTTTATGAGCCAGAATTTCAATATCAGTGCATCCCTAGAAGTTTTAACCAGTAAGACTCTAAAACTAGAAAACCTTCATTAATCTACCACCCGTCATCCATTTTAATCATTCACTTTGAACAGTATCTTCAGCTTAAGCATCACAGCCCAAAACCATGAGAGTATAAACGCCTCGACATAGTGTACGCTACTATAACTAGAAGCATCTGCTTCAGTCTACAGTTTGTGCAATTATTGAAAATCCCTTCATCCCTCTCAGGGGCATTAAACAATATTAAAACTTGTTAAAGAAGAGGGGAAATGAGGTCATGAAGGGATGCTTAATGGAGGTAATGGCAGAAGTGCTGCAGCAGTACTAGAGAAAGATTACACAGCAGATCTAGTGATGAAGCTGAAAATAAATGCGATGGAGCACAAAAGAGTAACTCTTTCCTTTCTGCAGGACAGGCCGTGTTGTGCTGATTTGGTGATCAAAACATGGTGAGCCCCCCAGGACAGAGCACACACTGCAGCTCTGAGTCACGGGGTTGGAGTAGCATGCCTGTGAGACCATGTGACAGACCCTGTAAAACATGCCCTCTGGCCTCTAATCTGCTTCTGTCTTTTTTTGGTGAATCTTTAAAAGCAGACAGCTGTACATGGCTTTCTAGGAGAAGGCTGGAATGTTAGACAACACGACGGGAAGCTTTACATGAGAAAGCAAAACATAAGCTGGATTTTTAAAGTGGAGAGGCACAGCCTCTTAAGCACATCAACACGCCATCTATTCGTCTATTCACCAGTTCGCAGCTATTTTGATGTGATCTTTCCTGTGGAAAAGCAAAGCGCCTTGTTTATGAATCTGAATAGAAAGAGAGAAAAAAAGAGAGACGGATCACCCCAAATCATCCTCATGATTCTCCAGCATCACTTACCAAAACAACACACAAAATTCCTCTTCCTCTCTGTAAACCCGGCATACAGCCCCAGGGAAGCCAAGCCTGAATTTATGGGTACAAATCTTAGTGGACAGGAGGGAATAGTAGCAGTGAGGAAACAGGGATGTTATGTTCTTGGTTTTCAAATTCAACCTGAGAAATCAAAAACTTTAACTCACTCCGACAAGGAGACTACTTACTCGACTACTCCTTCTACTTTCTCCTATTATTGTAATTTCTTACAGCATCTCTTGTGGTGACACCTGTCAAAATACTGCACTCCTCCACATCACCGCCTGTCCATAGTAGAGCATCTATTATGATCAAAACATCTCAAGATTTCTTTTGTTATCATAAACCACAGGTGCTCAAGTCAGCATTTCATTTTGATTCCAACAACACCACAACACGCCTGTAACTTTCAATTTAACCCTGAAGACTGTGTTTAGTGATAGTTAAGACAATAGGAGTAGATTTGGGTCTTTCAGAAAATCTCAAATGTTTTCACCATTTTCCTCAAACAATTTGGAGTTCATTGGCTGGATTTCACAAATTGGATTTCCACCTCTCTGAAATTATCAGCGAGTTTTTCCACATCAGAAACGATTCAAAGATAACTTCCGTTTCTACCGTGCATCATAAAATAAGACATTTTGAGAAATGTCTCAGTATTTTTTTTTTCAGTCAATGGCAACCAAAACTGTTTATTAGGCTAGTAGTTGTATATCAGGCAGATTGGATTGCATTTCATTTTGAGCATTCATGACTAGATAGAGGGATAATATTTAATATTAATATAATATAATTAACTATTACTATAGTTTATTAATGACTAGTAAGAGGATATTTCATAGCTAAATAATCTCAGCAATTGATTTTATATCCTCATCTAACACAAACCAAAAGGGATACATTATTGAAAATACTTAATAATTTAACAGCAATCTTGAAGGGCGCTTTCACTTTTAAAGGCATTGGTTATTATTCTAACCAGAGTTTTTCCAAGGAAAAGCATCTATTATTAAGAGGAAATAATATTAGGGTGAAATTGGGTAAACTGGAACGCTTTTTGCCATTATGACCCATTCATTCTAAATTAACCCCTATAATCTTAAATACTGGGACATGGCAACAACCCTCAGTAGCCAACAGAGAGAACAGACAGTTACTTCATGAACCAGTCAAGCATAATCTACAGGACTAGCATGCAAATTTACAGAGCACAATGAATTTATCTTAATAGGGACAAATATAGGACAATCATCATGCTTGATGTATGAAAACTGAATTTAAGATTAATGTTAAAAAGATTCTCAAAAAACACAAGTTGTTTGTAGAATTTTCAAAAGAAAAAGAAAAAAGAATGAACAAGTAAAATAACAGAGCCATTCTTCAGCTTTGCACAGCGGTCTCGCACACGCATTTTTAATGCTATTGATCACTAGTAGGTTCCGCCCCGCTGTAAATAATCCATCCGCTACAGCACTGGCACTAAAATCGTTAACGGAGCTCAAAGATGACACTGTGTTTTGACCGCTGTGGTTGCCGTTTATTCTTCCCAACGGACATCAGTGAGACGAGGGCATCGCTGGATGCCAGGAGGTGCCCATGTGTTTCAGCGCTCTCCTTTGTAATTTAAATAAGGTGTATAGTCTTTGGATAAATCGCCCTGACCACTCACCACCCCTTTTTCCTCCAGCGCCTGTGACTGAATCCTGCCCGAGGCTCCTGCACTGAACAGCGCTCAACAATCCTGCAGCCTTTGATCTCTCCAATTTCATTACATGCCAACCAGTCCGATAAATATATGCCATAAGATTACACAAAAGTGTGTGTATTGTACACAGAAAGTCCCAAAGCCCTGTTTAAACGAGTAATTATTTGATTTAAATGTCAGAATAAGCCAGAAATATCAAAATCATAACACGCTGGTGCTAGTAACTTTCCGGTCACCCAAGTCACCGTTTAAAAAGAGTGCTATTTACACAGTGCCTTTTAGGGGGGTTAATTTCGGGAGGGAGGGGGGTGGGGGTATTTCAACCCATTTCTCCTAGTGTTTGAAGGCATCACAAGTTACATATATATATATATATAAAAGCTACAGGCTGGTAGGTTTTAATTAGGGTTGGAGCTGTACTCTGCAGGGCTGCGGCTCTCCAGGACCGGAGTTCGCCACCCCTGATATAGCCTATTCATTTGTTGCCGTTTTGGCACACCTGGGGAATGTGGACCAAAAATGCAGAATATATATTTTATGGTTTGTTACGTTGTAGTACACAGAAAAAAGTGAAACGACACTTAGGCTAATAGACAGTATGAAGCATAAAAAGCGCACTGCTTTCTCTTCCACCTGACCTGTCCAACTCTGTCATCTTGTTTTGTGTGAAAGACACTTTCACGTCGTTTAAAAACAACATACAGAAAAACCTACTTTTGCTCAAGCTTGTTATCGTTATATCCTTTACATATGTATGTATTTACTTACCCTAGATTACAATAGTAAGGTATTCCAGTTCAGCGTAACAATCCGTGCAAGTGTGTCACTATTTTTTCAGTGTCATTCATTTCAAGATGAATATTCTGCTTTAATAAATGTTCGTTTTAAATTTAAACAATTTTAAATTACATTTTTTAGTTTCATGTATTCAACTCAAGGATATTCGGGGTAAATGTTAATATTCACTTGCAACGTAAGTAATAGGGCCTACGTAGAATTTAAACTGCTAACGTGGACTTTTTAAGAACAATCCCCATCGTGGGGCTTCAAATGTAAATAAGGCAATCACACAAACCGCTTTCATTTCATTTACCAAATGTTTGCTGTAAGTCATGATGACTATCAACCTGTACATTACCAAACTAGAGCCCCCCTACAATATATCCGCCCCTTTGAGCAAACACTGCCTTAATACTTTCTATGCCTCATCCATTTTTTTTCAGTTTTCTTTAAATATCGTTTTATTATTTTTCGATATTACATCTAACTTAAATATTGAACGCATAATATTGTTTACAAAAATGAGGTTTGGATGTGACAAAAAGTTGAACCCACAAATAAATATAGTACTTCAGCATAATTTGACTGCCTGTTTGCGTAAAGGATATACAAAAGGAAAACGTGAAAAGTAAAAGCTCTGATCGCTGCAACAAGCAAGGTGCACGATTTCTCTTTCCAGCCCCTCTACTCACATATCCTGACAGATACAAAGAAATACAAACATACAGGCTACCAGACACACACAACTTAAAAGACACTGCATGGGAAAACACTGGGGTTAGATTTAACTTGTATTACCTTGCACGGATAATCCACAGTAACCCAGAGAAAGTAGACAGAAGAACCAGATATTCTCCACCGCCATGTAGAGCGTTTGATTTCCAGCAGCGGGGTAAAGCAGTGTGTGCTTTATATGACCGCTACAGCTACATGCATATAATGGAATTCGGGAAAAATCTCTTCAGGTTTAATTAGTTGCGCGTAATTTCACGTATTTCCCTGTCGCGCACTTCCCCCACCAATAAACATAACGTGGTTGTGTTAGTCGGGGAAGAGTCGTCGTGTCTCTCGGCGCCTCATCGCCATGTTGTGTCCAAATGTTAAGGTGTGTGAGAGTGTGTGTTAGCTCTCTTTACACACACGCACGCACACACACACACACACACACATACACACCAGCGAGTCCCGCTTTAGGTGTCCACTGGAGCTGCATGAAACTCTGCCAGTATCCTCACACACCCCCTTTCCGTGTACACGGCTCCACGCTAGTTTCCTGTAACCTGCGAACGCGCTGCGCCAAATACACGACACAACAATGTTAAATAAACACACACTGACTAATTTGGAGCTTCGTATTTCGCCAGTAGCAATGAAAAGACCCCCTTGTTTAATTCGATGTGCTGATATATTGCTATAGCACGCGCTATCAGATGTGTTCTAGCCTATTTACAACATCATTCATTGCAACTTAAGTAGTAGCCTATTAATTGTATAGGTCTAGAAGGCACACACAATTAAACGTGTACGCATAATAATATCAATAACATTCACTTGTTCATTGATATGCAATTCATAGACTAGTGTCACACACACTAGTACACACACAGTTGAGGTTGCAAGACCCTCTGCCATGACCTTCAAATGGGCTAAGAGAGAATTTTTCTCTCCTGGTGTCTGAAGGGGCGAGAGATCACATGTGCATCCGTGTCATGTGCTCCTACAGGCTGAGGATCCCACTCGGCCTGGCCACTGACACAGCAATGAGCATGGTGGGACCCTTTACTGTTTCTGAACACAAAAAGCTAACTAGGGTCAGTTCAAACACAGGCTCACAGGAGACAGAGCAAGCAAGGTAAACAACTCATATATCTGACAGTGTGTATCCACACACTCTTTGCAAGTTAAATGGGTTGTGAATGCTGCATAACGTTTCAGCATTTTAAAAGTATATTTATTCTTCTTCGGACTTTGTCCTTTGATTTTAATGTAGTCTATCTATCTATCTATTTATCTATCTATCTATCTATCTATCCTATTTTCATTCACTTTGTGTAAAAAGGTTCTTTAGTTTATTAAAGTGTTATTAACACTAAAAGCGGTTAAGAACGAGATGTGTCGCATGCATCCTGATACTGTTGTGAATGTGCATCAAAGACTGACACCGAAAAGAGGAACTGTTGAATAAAGTCATTTTTTTCCCCTTTGTGCACAAAAAGTCTTCTCCTAGAGCCACTGATATCATATGGACTATTTTATCGATGTCCTTATACCTTTCTGGGCCTTGAATGTGTCAGTTGTGTTGTTGTCTATGCAGGGTCAGAGAGCTCTCGGATTTCATCAAAAATATCTTAATTTGTTTTCCGAAGAAGAACGATGGTCTTACGGGTTTGGAATGACATGAGGGTGAGTAATTAATTTTCATTTTTGGGTGAACTATCCTTTTAAAGGTTGGAAACATAGATAGGTGTTGGGAACTTAAAATTGTTTTTCTCTGGCATCGCTGCAAACCCCACTTTTGGAACCTTAATTTTTATGAGTACAAGAACCTTTCAGTGAACATGCAGTTCTTAATAATTTTTTCTAAGCTTGAAGAACACTTTAATAAACTCTCTAATAATCTAATCTCTTTCTTCTGAAGAAAGAGAAGATTTATACTCATCACAAAACTACAAAACAAACTCTAAAAGATACCAGGTGTAAACTATTTTATCATATATACCAGAATCAGATGGCAACATTTTGAGGTCCAGCCTTGTGTATTTACAGAGCAGATTAGAGAAAAGCCACGGGAGATGTGTTATGTAAGCATTTATTCATTACCCATGGTAATATGTTTTATGATACAGACTTTAATATTTCATAGTGTATGTATGTGGATTCTGCCTTGGGCCAATCATGTTCAGAATGGCCAGAGATATTTTATCTCTCCCAACTGCAAACCGATGGGCTTCCTGGGGGTAACCGTATCCAAATCTCAGAGGGACTGGAACAGATCAAACAAAAGGGATGTCCCTCCTGCAGCTGCTGTCTCTCCAAACAACACTGCTCCTGTAAGCAGAGCGCACTCACTCAGTAAATATCTCCTGCCTCTCTATGCTCTTGTGACTCTAGATTGCTCCGCTTCCACCACATCAAAGGCAGTTTTGTCATGGCATAATGGAGTGATTGTGTGTGTGTGTGCTTGTGCATGTTGTTTTTAGGGTGGGCTGCTTTCGCTTCAAAACAAAAATAAATAAAAAGAAAGATTATATGCACTTGTTACAGACACAAAGAAACACCCCAAAACACAAGTATGCTGTTTTGAGATCTCAAACATCTGCTCAAATGAGTTTGAATTTGGGGTGATAAACCTCATTTAGGGTTATAAACTGCCTGACATGACTGAAAGCTCCCTCAGAGTAAAGCCTCAGTTTCTCTACCGCTAATTGGATAAAAGTATGTACAGTAGTTGTTAAACTAATGAAGAATTATAATATATTTTAGGTCTCACTCTAAGAGATGTGATGCGAAAGAAATTGATCAGATGCCTCTGAAGAAGTCAGAGGAAGTGCCCTAGGCTGATTTCAATCTGAGTCATCCTATTCATTGCAGGACAGAGTGAATGAACGAGATGAACTTTTCATCCTTGAAACCATACATGCCAGTGATTTTAAAGCCAAGGCATTTTAGAAACATTTTGTTCCTGTATGTATTAATCATTGAACCGTGTTTAGCTAAAGATCTGAATGAGAAAATCAATACAGTATTTTTACAGAATTAAAGGATGGCATATGAAAAAGCTGTAGAAAAGTGTGACCTTTTTGCCGTGCATAGTCACAAGCCAACTGGGAGAAGACTTTTCCATTTGGAAACATTCACTGTTGACATGAACGGTTCTGGGTGCACCAATTGAGGACATGGATTGCGCTTTTAGGTAAAAATAAAAAAGAGCTTTGATTTTTCAGTCAGATTTTAATTTTATTCAAAGGCAGGAGACAAACAACTCACTTCCAGTTTTTCTGACCCATTGTGTACTTAGAGTGACCCAGCAGAGCCAATCCCCAAATATGATGGTGCTGTAAATAACTGCCCTGCCCAGTTACTACTCTGCTCTTCTGACATTGTAAGGGCACCAAATGTATGCTTGGCACAGTCCGCATGTCACCATGGTTACTGAGACTCAGGAGTGGCACATAGGCATAGGATAAAAAGCTCAGTGGTACAATTGGTGGTCCAGTGCCACTTGGATACGCTGGCATGCGGCCCAGAGAGGGAGTAGAGAGGTATGTATAAGAATGGGGAGGCACCCAGACAGTAGCCTGAAATCTATGGAAATCTCTCCACAATACATTGAAGGTCTGGTTTTGCTTGGTTTATTTTCCTGGACTCTTAAAAAAAGTTTTAATATGAACTATTGTTGTGGCTAAAAATATGATTGAATGATTTTTCTTGTTGGCTTGAATGATATCCTGCTCTCTCCCTCCTTTTTTCCCCGTGGGAACAAACAATTTCTTGTTATCATTTCTACTAACGTTTCCTCATTCAGAAGTTGAAACGTATTTGAAGTTTATGGGAAACGCTTTTCAAGAAACAATGAATATTTCATGTTATATAACAGATAGTGTCAGTCCTCAAATCTGATTGGCTGAGCAACCTTCCAAGATGCTAGGACTTTTCACTGTTTGTGTCACTCCGCTGGTCTGCGTTTGTATTAACTGATTATCATTAGGTTTGTTACACTAATAGATGGTGGAGCAACTAGGGGCTCTCAGCCAACTTCCAAAGGGCATCAGGATGACTTAAATGTAAATTTAAAAATAATTTAAGATTTCTTTTATTGATATATTAAAATAATGTAACTAAATTAAAATGCTTAAAATCAAGATCTAAACTAAAATCATATTTCTTCCCCCATATTTTTTCTGGAATCATAAAGTTACATCAGATAAGTTAATTTAATGTATGGACACTTCCAGTTTCTGGAGCCTTCCAGTCGAAAATTGTTGAGAATCACTGACCTATCTGATTTCTAATGACTCTAGTGATTCATTCAGGAACGAAATACTACTACATGTTGCTTGAAAATGCAATGGTTAATTCTGCTGTGGCTTCCTTTGGAACTATTGTTGTTGACTGAGCAAAAATTAACAAAGGAACTCAAATATTGTCTAAATGTAACGGTGCAGTCACATTTAACATTGTTAAATGTTGGCAAATCACAGGTGAATGCAGTAATTTCATTAGGAATCATTTGGGAATTTTACTTGAGGGCAAAAGATTTCCCCTCTCATTATCACTAATAATGATTGTACTAAAAACATGCACCTTTGTGTCTTTGAAAAGTTTTGTGTACAGAAGACATCATTGTCAAAACAATCCCCATTCACACGGATCGACAAACATGCTGTATTATGCATGGCAGTCCAGTACTTGGTGATGTCACTTTGTAAAGAAACACCATCATTTTTAAAACCTTGCACTTTAAAAGCCGCTTTTAATAAGTTTGTGTTTTAAGACCTCAAAATGCTGTCGTCGTGTAACTGAACAGCCATAACGGTGCAGTCACATTTAACATTGTTAAATGTTGGCAAATCACAGGTGAATGCAGTAATTTCATTAGGAATCATTTGGGAATTTTACTTGAGGGCAAAAGATTTCCCCTCTCAGGGTATATTTACACTAATAATGATTGTACTAAAAACATGCACCTTTGTGTCTTTGAAAAGTTTTGTGTACAGAAGACATCATTGTCAAAACAATCCCCATTCACACGGATCGACAAACATGCTGTATTATGCATGGCAGTCCAGTACTTGGTGATGTCACTTTGTAAAGAAACACCATCATTTTTAAAACCTTGCACTTTAAAAGCCGCTTTTAATAAGTTTGTGTTTTAAGACCTCAAAATGCTGTCGTCGTGTAACTGAACAGCCAAAACACAAGTTTTCGGTTTTTGATTTAAAAATGGTGTCACATAAACACCCCCCTATTTTTTGCAATGGGCTCAAGTTCGCAATAGGACCAAGAGAAAGACACAATACTATTGACGATAAACAACTGACTATGGCCCACGAAATTTTGTTAATGTGAGCAATCACTCGCTCAGTCGTGTCAGGTCTGAAAATCACCAGCATAAAATAACTTTTTGCTCGCCTGATACTGCTTTGCTAGTTCCTTTGTCTCAACCGTTATGAAATCTTGTGAGTTAACCTATTAGAGTGAGAGATCCTCTTCTCGGTCATTACACATTCTGATCA